GGGGCCCCGCCCTGCGGGGGCCCCCTGCTCCAGCCTGGACCCCCCACGGAGTCCAGGGCTCCTTCAGAAGCAGCCACATGCTCCAGCATGGGGTCCTCCCTGGGCTGTAGTGGGGGGTCTCTGCCCCCCATGACCCTCCATGGCTGCAGGGCACAGCCTGCCTTCTCACCACAGGCTGCTGGGAACTCTACTCCGGGCACTTCCTCCTTCTGCACTGAGCTGGGGGTCTGCCTGGTTGTGTCTCTCACATCCCACCCTCTCTCTGCTGCAAGATTGTTTTCCCCTCTTAAGTAATTCCAGAGGTGCTATCTTGCTGCTGATGGGCTTGTGGCCAGCGGTGGGTCCAACTGGGAGCTGGGGAAGCCTCTGGCAGCTTCTCAGAGGAGCCACCTCTGTAGTCCCCCCAGTTACAAAAACCCCATCACACACATCCAACACATTCCTTTAAAATACATTCCAACATGCTCTGAATCATCCCTTGAGAAAGGAGGAAAAAAAGAAAGTCCCCCCTTTCACACCAGTGTGACAAGAAGGAAGAGCGACAACAGAGCAAAGAACAAGAAACAAGAATTACTGTTTACTTCTGTGTCTTGGTCCCCCGCTGAGCCGACGCTGCAGTTGGCACCTGCCAGTGTGCTGAGCAGCCCGAAGCCCTGGGGCCTGTCTGAAAACAAACCAGCGTCAGTGCGGCAGGAGATGCAACTACGGCAGTTACAGCAGCCCAGATGGGCTAGAGGGGGAAGGCACACAGGGAAGAAACACAGCACCCTGTAAAACCGTGCCCAAGCTGCTTTGGGCTTTCCACTGCTGCTAAGCTGCTGTGTGTTCCAAAGGTGGTTGAAAATCCGACCTCAAAACCCCAGAAAGTGAACTCAAATGTAAATCTAACCAATCCTCTTTTTCACCTAAGATAACAGATGCAGTATTTTTAAATTAAACTGTGTTTTTAAAACTTTCAGTGTATGCACAATGGGTGATACTTTGGGTTTGGTGTTTTTCTAAGCCGTGTTTCTGTCTGGCCTTGCACCGAGTAGTAAATATTTGCAGTTAAACAAGGGACTGGGGAGATTTTTCTGAAAATCTATGCATTTTAGTCCACCAAAAAAAGAAACAGCATTAAGTTATTGTATTAGAAACTGCCAGGAAACAATGACTTGTGCCAGAAGAAAGATTAAGATTACTTTTTTTAAAAAAAAAGTGTTTTCAATTAATATACTAATGACTAAGCTCTAGACTCAAATGTTGAGATGATGTCATTTTTATGCACTGTCCAAATTTCCTTGCTATTTATACAAAATTTCATTTTGAAGAGTAGAATGTATAACTAAAACCATCAGCTCTCTAGAAAACATATAAACATGTCTCCATCAGAGAATTCCTAAGCCCGCCTTTCCTGTTTAATAACCTTCCCTGTGCACTGAGGCTAACGCGGGTCCTGTCCCAGCCCCCTTCTCCCCTTGTGCTCCCCCCAGCACGTAGTTGTGTCCATCGGCCCTGGTCTGTAGTTTTACTGCTTTAACAGATCACTCGCCAAAGGTTTGGGAAGAGGCGATTCAGTCGAGCCGAACGAGCGGCCTGAAAAAGGTGCGGTTGCAAGACGTGAAAGCCCGTGAATTCCACTCGCTGGATTAACAGGCAACTGAGTGAGAAAAGACTGGGATGCACACAGAAACCAAAGTCGCTGCCCCCGGGCTCAGCAGGCTGAGCGAAGAGCTGCCGTGAGAGAAACCGTGCGGATCAACGTTTAGCCAATTTCTGAGTCATCTGCAGCTAGATCGGACATCGCAGTCCAGAATGTACTTGAGAGAGAACATTCCCACGTTGGCAGAGGGGCGGATGAAGTGAGCTCATCACGGACCTCCTCTCTATCTGTGACTAGGGTTCATCTCCTACAGAAAAATGCCAGTGGCTCCATCCCCCACACGCATAACCTCAGCCTGCGTAATCACCGAACGCCATCCCAGTTAGCAAGAACGGGAATCTACAGCAGGGATCTCTGGAAAGCAGCTGTTTCTGGAGCCGTGGTTAGGGAGGTGGCAGACGTAACGCCTGGTTGCAGGCACACCCTTGAAAAAGCCTTCCTATAAACTTTTTATGGGATGTGAGTGTTATTGCAACTTCTGGGTGCAATTCAGGAAGGGGGTGACGCTTTACGCAGTGTTCTTACAGTATCAACGCCAAAAATTACCTCACTCAACTTATTGTAAGAGTTGGTGGCTCCACTACGGCCGACACAGTTCCACAGGTGCCACTCAGAGTTGCAAAGCTCTCGTACGCTGTGCTGGGAGCAGGGCCTCGAGGTGTACATAGGCTCATGCCACAGCAAAACGTTTTCCACTGTCTTTATCTACCATTTTCCCACAGTCCGTCTCTAGCTGACGTGTGGGGAGCCTGACTCCCACGTAAAATGGGAATTTACAAGTCAAAATTCATGATTTGATTAAATAAGTTTAAATAGCTCCCCTAAATCAGGCTAATTCTTTGTAAAGACAGCTAGGCTAATCACTGGCCCCACCCTCGGCAACCAGCTTCAGCTGGGATCCCTAACACGGATTTAAGCAGGAAAGTAGGAAAAGAGCCTCTTTCAGAGGGCAGTAAATGGTTATTTGTCTTGCTGCCTCTGCCAACGAGCTTTGCCCTTGGAGGGACAGCTAAGGACAACAGCCACACACCCCCTTTGTGGGGGAAAGACCTACTCGTGCCTTTCTGCGCAAGGAGAAGAAAACCACCCGATTCTCAGACTGAAGAGAGCTCTGAGGCCTGGAGAACTGGCAGCTTTATACCAGCTACAAAAGGGAATTACCCCCTGGAGACTCTCAGGTAAGGCTGCTTTGTTTGTCTTTTAGTAGGGATAATCCTGCTTTACTCACTCACAAAGCATGTGGTATTACTTGATGTAAAATGCTTATCATTCAGCCATGCTGTATTTAATACCTATTTTTAAGAATCGGTGTGAGAATGAATGTATTTAATGCTTAGAGAAAAAAATCAAGGTCAGGAATTAATAGGTGTGTGAAAAAATTATTTCACCAGAAGAACTGTGTTGAGGTTTAAGACAGAACACCTTAAAATAATACGGGTTTAGTGCTTGTACTTGAAAAGATTAATTCCTGCCCTGCCTGTAAAGTTAAAGTCTCAGAGAAAGCGACAGCTGCAGCAGGGCAATGCTGTACCACTAGCTTTTTGGATGGCTATGTGCTGTGAGCTTTTACTGCTACGTAAGTATCTTCTACCCTATGAAAAATCTTCCCATGAAGCATGACTGTGGTTTCTAGATGGCCAGCAGTTGCAGGTAGTTCAGTAGGAAAGCTGAAGTTAGATTTACATGGCAACCAGTTTCCAGGATCAGGAGGAAGTGGAAAACAAAAGATATGTTACAGGTTGTAAAAAGTTTTATTTTAAGTAAAATGACCTCAACAATTTCCCTTTGAAGGCGCAGTCAGGCTGCAACACCTTCCAAACATAGCTCGCTTCCTGAGGGGTTTGTAGTAACTGCACCAGTGCTGCGTGGTTTTTGTAGTGGAGATGGGAAATCTGGATTTTCAAGGAGCCTGACCTTTACAGAACACACTAGCGTGCACAGGAATTTCCCCCAACAAAGAACTGAACACGTGACTCGTTCCGTTCTTCTGTAATGTGGCAGCTGCCCAACGCAGGAAATGCACTGTTCAGAAAACTGGTTTTGCACTGGTGAGAGAAGGTGACACCATCTCGACTGGCTGCCTCTTCCTCTACAATGGTTACACCAAGTCAGAGCCACCTTCGCCTCCGGATGTGGCACCAGAAATACCCAAAGGGCTACCTTAAAGCAACTAAGGAAGGGTATGGGTTTAGTAGTTCTCATCCTAGTTCTGCTGAGCCCCGGCAAGCACGCTGCAGTTACAGGAACTAGCAGGACCCGCTCAGCACCCGAAATCCTTACACAGTTCAGAGATGTAGGAAGGAAGAAGCCACGGCAGTGAAAAGCTGCACATCAGGGAGCAGACGCTGGAAGGTCGCTCGTGGGAGGAAGCTGTGAAATAAGAACTGTGAGGCCAAGCACGCAGCAAGAGTTTAATCTTCCTGCATTTCCTGTAACAGCTTGTGTTATCAGAAAGGTAATTAAAGGTTTCCAACTAAATGGAAGTGTCTACGCTTGCAGTAGCTCTGGGCTAGCCACAGCATTTCCTTTCCTAATGAGTCTAATCCTAAAGCGATTTTTCCAAAATTCTAACTCTGCCTGATAATCAGTTTTCTTGGGGTTGCCTGGTTTTGTACTGTTTTCAAAAAATTCTGCAGCTTCCCTGCACTCATGTGGGGTTTTCCATAGGCAGACGGTCCTCCTTGCAGTGCACTTAGTGTCCTTCAGCAGCCATCTGAAGCCACTTTCCCTAATCCCATCTCCACACTCGCTATTCTCATCCCCATTTCAAACAATATTTATAAAAACTAACAAATGTAGGGCTGGTTGGAGCAAGTCCAGAGGAGGCCACGAAGATGATCAGAGGGCTGGAGCCCCTCTGCTATGGGGACAGGCTAAGAGAGTTGGGGCGTTCAGCCTGGAGAAGGGAAGATCCGGGGAGACCTTATTGCACCTTCCAGTGTCTGGGGGAGCTACAAGGGAGCTGGGGGGGACTTTTTACAAGGGCCTGTAGTGACAGGACAAAGGGTAAAGGGTTTAAATTGAAAGTGGGGAGGTTTAGATTGGATATCAGGAAGAAATTCTTCATGGAGAGGGTGGTGAAGCACTGGAACAGGTCACCTAGAGAAGATGTGGATGCCCCATCCCTGGGAGTGTCCAAGGCCAGGCTGGATGAGGCTTGGAGCAACCTGGTCTAGTGGAAGGTGTCCCTGCCCATGGCAGGGGAGTTGGAACTGGATGATCTTTAAGATCCCTTCCAATCCAAACCATTCTATGATTCTCCTTCCACACTAAACCACGGATCAGTCTTTAGATGCAGCTGGTAATGACTATCTATTTGCTGCTAGGGCTTGTGGAGCAAGCTTTCATTTTTCATTGAAGAGTTAGTGGAATATTAAGTCCAGTTGTAGGTAGAGAGCAAGCTAAGGTACGGCAGGAACAGGATCAGATGCTGAGAGAGGAATAAATCTCACCCATGGCCTGTATGTTTCTCTGTGCATGAAGGGTCAACTAAAGCAATACAGGGACAGCAATTTCAGGGACCTGAAACCCTACTATGCCATGTAAAAGGTTGAAGAGTACCCGAGTTCTCTGTATACTGGTGCAGTGGCAGTAGCACTGCAGCTGCTCGGGTTAAACTCTGGCTAAAAAAGCCCTCTAGGCCCTGCGTTCTCCAGAATTCATGGAAGAGGAACTTGTGTTACGTACCGCTCT